CTCTTTTTTATTTTTAATTAAATTGATGTATTTATTTCCTGATCTTATTGCTAATTTTTGGACATTATTTTTTTTTTCTCCCCTCAGCTACAGTCCACATAGCTCTCCCACAAAGTTAGCAGTCATGAACCATCACCATAGTCCCTTGTGCTCTTCCCTCACCTGTTTTAACCCTTTCCTTCCCTTTTCCCTGGTATAGTCTTATATCTATGGTCAGCCTGTAAGTTTTGTCTTTTACCTGACCCTTTGTTTGGTTTCCTTATATTCACTTATAAATGAAACCATCCATTTTTTTTTTCTTATTCCTTCTGACTTTTTTTTTTTTAGTTAACATAACCCCTCCCAGCTCCTTTAATGTTGCTTCAAATGACATGATTTTACTCTTTTAATTGCTGAGTAATACCCTGTTGTATATAGACACATCTTCTTGATCCGCTCATCTGTTCAGGGACATTTAGCTTGTTTCTTAGTTTAGCTGTAAAATAGTGCTATAATAAATATGCGAGTTTGGAGGTTTCTTATTGAAAGAAACTGTACAGCCCAAAGAAATATCCTGGTTGGCATTTAGAATCCCCTTGGAAGTGGCTGGATTCCCTCTCAGTTACTTGCCCCCGGTCAGGATCTACCATATGTCTTATAGGGAGGGACTAGAATAGAAATAGAAATTTATATTGTATTTTCTCTACATGTACATATACACACACATATATTTAAAGTATTTATATAGTATATGCATGTAGAGAGAGAAAGAAAGAGAAATATATAACTATCTTAAATATAAAATAATATTCAAGCAGTTTAGAAGATAGTTGAATGTAGCCCCTCATAGAAACTGTTGAGGTTAAAACAATGGATAAGGGTTAGGGGTGGAGAGGGTGGCTCAGAGAAAATATAAATAAGGAAGGAAAAGAACAGCTTTTAGAAATCTGTAATAGCATCTAAAAATGTGAGAGACAGTATTATGTCCATGAAATCAAAAGCATATATTACAAAATAAGAACAAGATCTTGAAAATTAAACTTATATTCAGAGATAAAGGTAAAGTCAAATAAACCTTCTAGTAAATATAAATTAGTGGGCAAAGATGGACAAAAGCAATGGGAGAAAGCAAGGTAAGGATCATAGCAGCTGAGTCCGCAAGGTTTAACATGATACCAGAGAGGCTCCAAAAACAGAAAACAGTGCTGAGGAGAAGAATATAAAAAAAAATTTAGGACACAACAGCAGATTCTCAGATTTTAAGGGAAAGTGGATAGTGGGTAAAAGATCCTCATTAAGGTTTTTTACTCAGTATTTCAGTACACTAGAGGATTACAAAGAAGAGTTCCAAACCTCCCAATGCAATAAAACAGGTAATGCGTAAAAGAGAGAAATAGCAATGACATCACATTTCTCAGTCACGATGCTGGAAGTTAGAAAGCAATGGTGGCACCCTCAAAATGATGAACGATATGACATTTGGCTAAAATTTAATAACAAACTTAACTGACAAACATGAGAGTAACATTAAGATTTTTTTTTTTTTTTGACACGCAAGGAAGGTCTCAACGAATTTACTTCCCATGTACCTTTTCTCAGGTAGCTACTAGAGAATGTGCTCTACAAATATGAGGATGTAAACCAAGAAAGAGGAAACCATGGGATCCAGGAAACGGGGCACCCAGCACAGGCGAGAGGCACAGGGATTTCGCAAGATGGTGGTAAAAAGAAGCCCCAGGACAACAGGTGGGCAGCTGGCCTGGGAAATGGCTAGAGCAGACAGAACGGGCGGCTCTAGAGGGACAAACAGACCTCAGATGGACTGATTGGGTGGGTCATGTAAAAAGCGTTTAATAGGGTTTTTGTAGTTGCTTTGGACAGTTCAGAAACACATACTAACATACACAGAAAGGCAACACAGGCAACGCCAAGAAAAGCAAAATATGAACAAAATAGGAAATGTGTTTTTGTACTGTGTGGCTCAGGTGAAAACACTACCACTTTCTCCTAACAATGGAAACACAAAATACTGCTTTAACCAGAAGATGCCACTTAACCTGCTATAAAGATGGCAGAGGGAACGCTTTATGGGAGGTGGTGATGGCATTCAGAGTGCTAAATCTTTCTCATTTTGCACAATAAGTAATGACACTAAATAATCATTAAATAATCTCTACAATGACAAGAAACATCAATGTTCACACATTTCTTAAATATATAGACTCACAAGTCAGAGTTAAAAGTTGGCTCCTCTTTGTGTGGGGATTTAATCTTCTTAGGAGGAGGGGATGGGTCAAGGGTCAAAACTACTGGTTTATCTTACTGTGCTGGATAAGTCCCTAGTACAGAAGTGTTAACAGTATTTTTAGCAGTATTCTGGCTCATTATACAAGCAAATAAACAACGAACAATAAAGGTAGTTTCCTCCAAGGAGCAGATGGTGGCAGGAACAAGTGGGGTACGGGGTGCTGTTTGGGGTAGAGGATAAGTGTTACTTGCACTTTTAAACTAGACATATATCAGTTTTGGTCAGCACTAAGAAATGAGTAAACTAGTAAAAAAAAAAAAAAAAAAAA